AATTGAGCAAACAAAACTTCAAGCTCGGAAAAAATCTCTTTATCAGGCATAAGAAGAGGAACACAGAAATCCAAACCATGAGCAAGGACAGAAGATTCAAGTTTGGATAGTTCATAAGAAGAATAGTTGAAAATAATGTCCTCCATATTAGGCTCAGTTGTGCACCTATATTTCCTATGTATTAAAAATTTAATCTTGGTTTGTAGCTTAGATAATTTCTTACACCTACACTAATGAACAAATCCCAAATACTGGGGAAACCTCAATCGATCCAAAAAAAAAAAAAATTATGTTCATACATTTGCAACATAATCAATTATATTTCACATTTAGTATCAAGATTTTGGTTGACAGATGTTGCAGAAAATCTTTAATAACAGTACTTTCTATATTCCAACTAGAATGTAATTTTGCCCTGTTTATTCTGAAATGAATGAAGGAAGAACAGACCTGGTGCTGAATACATTTTCGTAAGAAAATATCATTAGCACTGAATGTTCTTAATTTTGCTCTAATTTGTAATATTTTATTTAACTGTGACGTCGTCCCCTGGTCGCAGCGCCAACTGTGACGTTCTATCCTGATCTACCACGGCACCAGTTGTGACGTCCCCAAACAACACCAATTGTGACGTCCTCGCCGCGGCGCCAGCTGTTCGCTGCTCCGTTCTTGCTGCTCCAAACGTGACGTCCGCCTGTCGCGTCAGTCGTGTTGTCTCGTCCGTGACGACCAACTGGCTTGGTATCGGTCGCGGCACCCAAATGTGACGTTCTAACCTTTTGGTGATTCGGGTGGGAATCTGGTTAGATTTGATATCAGCCTCGTCGTTCCCAACTCGCTTCCAACGCCTGGTTACCAAGGTAACTGCATTGATCTTCAGTCTGCCTACCCACGTTGTGAATTGATCTTAGGCAGACGAGATCAATCAGTAGTTGGGGCCGTAATGCAAACTGAGTTCAACGGGGTGATACCACACAAATATGCATAAAAGAAAATAAAATGAAAACTCAAAAAGTTCAAAGTATCAAAGAAAAGGATAACAAACTTTATGTCTAGTTGTTCGATACATAAGACTGCATCTATCTCCCGACCCGTTCTGTGGATTGTGACACGTCATTTTCCGTTAGGCAAGTTTTAACGCTTCAAATTGTTTGCTCTCTAAGAAATTGGTGTTTCGGTGTGTCTTTGGACGAAAGTCGAAAAAAAACTTATTTTTGTGGTCTGGATCTAAGTCGCTCTTCAAAATAATTGTTCTTGGGTTGAAGAGGAGTCCGGAATTTGCGTGAATCTTGGTCAGCTGAACTCACTGGAACTGCTGGAACTCTGGAAAACTGCTGGAGCCCGAACTGATTTCTGCTCTGTTGGGGCTTCGCTTTTTATGGACGCCGACCAAAACCGGGGTGGGTCTGTCGGCGTCCGGGGGTTCCTCGATAATTCTAAATACATATCCACTTCTTTTATTTCTGGTTAGGGATTTTCCACTCTTTTCCATTTTTGGGAACCTTTTCTCACTCCCACCTTCTCACCATACTTCAGAGGGCGTGAACTGCCCTCCCCACTTCTTCGTAGCAGCTTCTCATACCTATACTCTGGATGAGGCGTCGACAGCCTTCTTCGTGCGTCACGTGATCACGTGATCACCACTTGACCAATGATGTCTTAGTCGGCGTGGACGAATCCGCGGCTTTGTTTCAGGAAGAAAAAAAATATCTTGCTTAACTAAAAAAAAATTATCTCTTCTCTTTCCCTTTTCTTCCTCTTAATCGCCGTTATCATTTTCCCTAGACAATAAACGGTACACTATAACTCTTGTTCTACACGTGGTTTTTGTCAGGTATTTTTATTGCCAATTATCAGAATGGGTGGTGGTCTTAACACGGCCTCAAAAAAGAAACATCTCCAAAGTTTCAGTCAGTCTGTCACTTCGAAGAAAGAAGAAAAACACTTCTGGGTTCCCATTCATTTTCTTTCGGTACATATTTCTGATAACATAATTTTATTATCGTAGGCCAAAGATGTTCTGCAGCAAGAAAATCGGTCAGTGTAGTTACTTTGTGTGTGTCGCGATTAATTTTTCTATATCTACCCAAAGCCCTGTAGTTACACCTGTGTTTTGTCAATTATCAAAATTAACGTTTTCAATTGGACTTTTCTTTGGCGAACATTTCTTGATAACATAATTTTATTATCGCAGGCATAAAGATGTTCTGCGGCAAGAAAAATCGGTCAGTGTGGTTACTAATTGTATTGTCGCGATTAATTTTTCCATATCTGTCCCAAAGTCCCTGTTTTTCGTCACTTATCGAAATAACATTTTCACTTGAATTTTTCCTTGGCCAGTCGACCAGCAGTTTGTTTACGTACTCCTAGATAACACAGCCGTTATCAAAACACATCTGATTCTTTCTTTCTTTCCCTTTCTTTTTACTCAGAATTTCCCTGTCATTGTAATGACACCCTTTCGCCATTTGTTACTTATCAATATATTCATTGTCTCTTAGCCGTGTGTGTGTCTGCTTATCACCCACGATTCGTCTTGCCTTTCTTTCTGCCTTCTTTTCTTTCTTTCTGCCTTCTTTTCTTTCTTTTCCTTTTCTGGCTCATAAATGGTGCCACAAACTGACTAATTAAATCAGAGCTGTACCTTAATTTAAAATATTTAAAAACTTTCTTAGTGGTACAGAACTTGAGTATTGCTGTAGACATTTAGCTGAATATTACTTGGCATAATTAAAAACAACAAAAAAAAAATGAAAGAGGAAAACAACAGTCAATGTATATCAAGTCTCGGAAACCTTCTCTCTGTGAACAGCATGATTGTTTGTTGGGGCTTGCTATAATTAGTCTCTAGTATCCACACCCACCCACACACACACTTTTTTTGTCCTCACATCAATCATTTGCAAATATTTGAATTTATTGTATTTTACTGTTTTTACTCTTGATTAAAAATCTTGAAGAGTGGGAGTGAAACCAGTTGTTTTCCTCTTTCATTTTTTTTTTTTCGTTTTTAATTATAACAAGTAATATTCAGTTAAATGTCTTTACAGCAATTTATACATTAATAGCATTTGATTTTTGTTTGGTGGGGTTCACTATTTGCACATAGCTGGGACCTTAACAGTTGCTACCACCCTGGGAGCAACAGCAATTAAGAGATAGTTCCATGCTCCTCAAAACTTCCAATCTCCTAATCAGAGGCCTTGCTGCTGGAGGGAAATGACAAATCACAATACCAACAAATAATCAAAACTACCACCGAAGAAATGTCCTGGTCTCAAAAAACACTTTGAATCACATTTTAATTCTAACCACACTAAACTAAAATGCCCACACAAATAGGACATATACCAATATACATCCAATCATTACAAAGTCTGTCTCCAACCATAAACAATAATAAAGTTACTGATGAGGAAATTAAGCTATTAAAAAAACTAAGGAATAATGAAGCATCATGTGACATTGAGGCTGAACATTTGAAAATAGTTTACTTTCACCCTAATTCTAAAGATGGTTTCTTTATTTTATGAAAAGTGAGGATTATCACACATTAATGCACTATAGAAACAAAAAAGTAGCCATATTAGGATTTTAGGTCATAACTAAGGGAGTTAACTCACTTCCTAGATGGAAAGCAATTTATGCCTCATTGTTGAATGATGACATTCATATGCCTCTTGAGAATGGATACACGTGATCTTGAGAAGAATGTTGGAATAGCCAGAATGTTATAAACTGATTTTATTTTTTCTTGAACTCCTCCTGTCTTGCCTTTCATGACATTTGCGCCATTAAATGCCTATCAGTTTTTGGCCTTTTCCTTGAAGGATTATGTTTAATTGTTCTAGAATACATTTTAATATGCCATCTGCAATTTGATTTTCTGGAAAAGGAATTCCCAAAAACACTCAAATATTGCTTCATTCAACATGTACTGTAGAACAATGACCATTTGCGTGTTTTCTGAAACATCCGCTGTGTCATCAGCCATGACAGCTACAAATTAAGCTGTTTACACTATTTACATTGTTTGGATTGTTGTCCTCATCTTTGTCATATTCACATTTTGGCTGTTGTACACTCTAGTCTTCTTTAGGTGATTGAAATTTCAGACCAAACCCTTTATTTTTATCCACCTGGGTAGATTGTTCTAATTTCACAGGCCATGCCTCTTGCAGATATCTCAGTTTTCCGTTATTTCCCTTTAGTAACTCAACTCTTAAAGGACACATGGCCCAGTGGATAAGTGTTGATTGAAGTAATCCAGTGACTTGACACAACGAGTTGTTAGTTCAATACCTGGCCACTGCAGAGGTGAACAAAAACTTGGAGAGTTGTGTTACTGAAGGCAAATAACAGAAAACAGATATCTGGAAGTGACAGAGCAGCTTTGCACAAGCCTCCACTGTGCCATAGGGTACAACAGCTGAAACATAACAACAAAGATAAGGACAATAGTCTGCATGTAAATAGTGTAAATAATGATAACTCCTCATCCCAGAAATTCAAACAGAAATTGTTGTTCTGGTAAATAAAAATTTCTATATCATTTTCTCCCATAATAATGTATTGAACTAAGAATTTATCAAATGTTAAAAATTTGATAAATGTATATAAATCACTTTCATTTTTAACAGTGACTAACTTGAAGTTAGCTTATTGTTGGAGTGAAAAGTGACTTAGTTGATTGTTGAGGTTGTTGATTAATTTTAAGGTTAATGTAGTAAAGGATTATTTAACAAAGGAGCAATTCTATAACATTACCCTAGAACGATTATCAAATGAGGAATTGATTTCCTTCATATAACAAGTAAATTAACTCAATGAAAGGATTATCTGCATTTTATCTTCCATTTGATTATACGTAGAGATTATTTCCATCACATGCTAATCCAGCAATTGAATTTTTTTTTTTTTTTTAAATACAATTAGCATAAATTGATTTATAGTTTATAGAATTCAAAATAAAATACAAATATCTCAATTTTTTTTTCCAGGTGTATTGAAAATATAATATCTGAGCAATTACGAAAATTAAAGGTTACTTTAGCAGATATAAGCACTCTTAGTACAGCCCAGGCAACTGCCAATGATCGGTTGACACATGTCAGAGCCAGCATAAAAGTTCCCAAGGTTTGTAATAGCAACTTTCAATTCTATTTTCATTTTTATTATTCCCTATTTGAGAAGCTGTTTATATCTTTGTATATAAATTTATTTTTTTTTATTTTTATATTTACTGCATTGGCTTTTAGTGCTGTTGTAATTGTAAGGCTTAAATGCCTGCACATTGACTTAACATGTTTTGCATTTCTCATGGATGTGATCTGTAACTTCTGTATATTATCTATGTAATATAATTAGTTTAATTGCAAAAGTGTGTCTGTGTGTGATATGAATTTGTAGAGCAGAAAAAGCATTAAGAATCTTTTCAAAGATTTACAAATCATAAAGTAGTTTTGTATTTTCTAAATTGACATAGGGAGTGAGATAATTTTTACATGATGTCTTTCAGTTATTTTGAAATTTTGGCAAAGTTCAAGCTACATACCTGAAAAAAAAAGTATCAAAAGGATGTTTTTTCTCTTGACATCACTATTACTTACTGTAGGCTCCTTGAACATTTATTAGATTCATCCTCACTATTAGTATTCAACCATTGGTAACTATCCATCATGAAATGTATTCAATTGATTTTAGTGTTTACTTTTTTTGACAGAATTTGTATATTGTATTTTTGAACATATTATAACTTTTCTTTTCATGAACACATCACATACAGTATTTGTCCTTTCTTTACTTTCTGAACAATTCTGTAATATAATTTGTTATTTTCTTTTTTTCTTCAATTAGAATTAGAAAATATGGCACTTAAATTTGAACCAAAAATAAAATAAATTTTTTAAAATTATAAGTGCAGGATGTTTTTTTATTTATTTTTCAGTATTTCCATCATTTTCACTAGCAAGATTGACAAAAATGATATTGTTTATTTTGAAGTAAAATTAATTACTTGAAAATAAATGTTGTCTCATAAAATATTTTCTGTTGTCTCGTAAAATATTTTTCTTTTTCCCAGCCTGGGGATTTACTTGAAGAAGTTCATCATCCTGTTGTTCCAGTTCAAGCCCCCATTTGTGAAAACCTTGGCATATTTGATGCTCAGGCTGAGGCACTTGCCCTTTCAGCTCATATTGAGTCTATACAGAAGGAAAAGTAAGCAAAATTTCTATGTAAAATGTGCTTTTCTTATAATCTTCTAAAGAAAACATTATTGGAATTGAATTATTTTTTACTATTATATGCAAAAAAACAAATTCAAAACTTTTGTCAAACGTTTTTCCATCTTGGTCCTTGTATATTTTAATTACCCATCTCTCTCTCATCCTAACAACATACAACATGCAAAATTGTCAAAAATCTTCACTGAAGAATAAAATGACTGTTTATTTTAAGGCCAGTTGTTTGGTCTCTTGAGACATTGAAATGTTAAAAACAAAATCCTGCAGCTTTGCATCATAACTTCTTAATTGTATCTTCTTTGTCATATTGTTTTGAGATAATTCATTGTTTTTATGTACATAGATTGTTTTGTGAAATTCTCACTGATTTTTTTTTCACAAAAAATTATTTGAAAAGTAATCTTTAAATGGTTCAGTTTCCAGGTTTATCAAAATTTATTTCTAGGAATTAATCTTTTTAAAAAAAAATCATATTTGCATTACTGACCACTTACAGACATGCTTAGCTTTAAATCAGAATTACAACCTATTTCAATTTACTTAAGGACCATGATAAATGCTTCCTAACAAATTCCCTACCCTGTCAGTTAATTAATTAGCAATATTTTTGTTAATTATAGAGAAGACCTCACATGTAATTTGCCCCGGTTAGAATGTCACCAACTCAATTCTGATGATGAATCCCAGGATGTGGGGAGTATATTAGCTAATACTCCTGACTCCAATGATACAGATGAAATTAATGAAGAATATGCAATTACATTTGATCTTCCTGGTAAGGGTTATTTTTCCTTTTTACTGATATTTTTATTATATAACTACCTTATTTTTCTTTGTTTAGCATCTCCTAACAGAATTGATACAGTTTTCTTTTAATTTTTAAATAATGTGTTCTATGAAATTACGAGGAGAAGTCAAGATGATGCATTGGTTCAAATTATTTAAGAATTATTTTATAACAATTTTATAAACATGATTTTAATGTTTACAATTGCTAACAACATTTATACAATCTTTGAAAATAATTACGTATTTTAATATTGAGTTGCTTCCAAAAATTTAATTAATGTCTGTCATGAAACCAGTTAAAATCAGTAATGACTGTTTTGATAATTATTTCATATTCCATTTGGTCATCTACAAAACATCAACTGTTATTTCATATTTTCATTCAAATTTCCAAATTTATTGGAAAAATAGTCTTTCAATTCATTCACTTTATACAAGTTAAGAACTGCAATTTATCTTTTTATATAAAGAGTCATTTTTTTTCTTTTTTCAATTAAAACAATTTGTGAACTTTGAAACAACACTGCTTTTTATAGCTGGTTTTGTCTACCTTTTATTGAAAGTAAAATATTAGTTAATTTACAGTGTTGATTGTGGTGAGTTCAGACTGTACATTCATTTCTTTTGAGAATAAAATATGTCACAATCTTTGACAATATAGTAACTTTGGCCATAAAAATAAATGGCCCAGTTGCAGGAAAAGAAACTCTGGATTGAAATTTAGGTTTGATGAAAGAATAATTCAATTAAGTACAGCTATAATTATTTTTTCTTAGTGTTTACAAAATGTTCATTTTATAAAATTTCTAAACAAAATAGCACACCTTGCACTAAATTCATAAAGAGAATTTGTAGCTAATTTCTTCTTCCTTAAATGTTGTGGCTGAATATTTTTTTCCCTCCACAATGAATATATGCAAGTTTTAAATTTATTGAGTAAGATGTAGGGATGTTTTTAATCGAAATATCTTCCACTTATATTTTGCCAAATACATTCTACTTGCAATTATATTTACTTTACTAATAGTAACAGTAATTATTTTTATTCAAATTTTTCTTTCAAGAAAATGATCGTCACTATGTATTAAGTCCATTTTACCTTTGAGCTGATGTGTGGTAAGATGTTTTCTCATTTCCCAGATTTCTCTCATTTCTTTCTCAGTCTTTACTTCTGTGCATTTTAGCTCTGGTTACTTGATATCAATGTTTAAATGCAATGCACCATTTCTCAGATGAGGAATTATTGCTATTGCCAGGTTTGTTTAAACTAACCTTCACATCTTCTTTACATTGCTGTTTTTCACAGATACAGATCTCCAAGTCTGTTCTCATTTTTTTCTCATTGTTACGTCTTTGAAAAGAATAGGTGCAATTATTCAATTTCAGTATCTCTCTCTTAAACTAATCATGTTGATGTTCTACACACACACACACACACACACACACATATATAGATATGTATACATTAATACATTAAGATACATGTGGCATGTTTGCCTGACTTAAAAAATATTTTCTAGAAAATGGAATCAAATCATTGCTTTGACTTCTATGAATGCATTTCAATATTAAGTTTTCAACATTTTAACTCTTTAAATGAGCAGTTATTTATCAGCTGAATCTGGTAGAATTTTTCATTCTATGGAAGTTTGTCTCAAGAAATGTAAGCTAAAACTGCAGCATAATTTTGCTTCTCCATTTCCAATTGATGGAATTTGATAAAAACAATTTGAAATATAGAAGTATTTCAGGGATATTTTTTTTTTAAGTTTCTCACTGTCTTAACTTTATGTAACCTTCACACAATGAGAAAACTATTTTCAAATGCAAATGACATTTGTCTTCTATTTGGTAGATATTTTTAAAGTTCTTTTAAATGTTTTAATTTTTTCTTAACCAATAGATAAAATGAAAAAAAAAATTATTACAAAACTTTTACTTTTATTAATGAATAAATTGTCTTCTAAAGGGAAGTAGTTTGATATGCTAAATCACTGAAAGGAAAAACTCAAAATTATAGAAGTCATTATAAAAAAAGAATAACATTTAAATATCTTTCACCACAGTTTTAATTTTAGTGTGTTTTTCAGATTTTCATCTGTGCACATCCAGATAAAATTTGTGTAAAAATTATCCAATTCCCAAGTTAGAGCACTTTCAAATGTCTTGATCATTATCAAGAACTAAAAGTTGTCAATGTCATGGATGACATTCTTGTTAGCTATATTCTGGCATATTTGTGAATGTTATATTTCAATTTTAAGTATATATTGTAAAGGTGAATTTAAAAAAAAGAAAAGAAAAAATTGTTTGTGTGTGTGCACACACACACACAGATGGGAGCACTAAAAGTTCTTAGCCTGACCCAACTGCCAAATTTTGACCAAATGATCAGACATCAGAATTTTTATCCAGAAAGGCTTGTTGGTACAGTGAAGAACTTTTCAGAACTCCCTTGTACGCATGGTAAAAATGACTTTTTTTTTTTTATATAGGTGCTCTTTATAAAGAAGTGTTTATATCTATTAGATTCATGGAATTATATTTTAGATCACAGAATCTGACATCTAAGGTTGATAAAGCAAGAGATTTGTACAAATTCAGTTGAAATATTTCAGCTTAAAGCTTCACAGGTTGGCAATATTTTTTTTAATCAGTAGCTGTTGATTGTAATTTTTTGTTTTGTATTCCATATCCATTAACTTAAAATGGGTGGCAGAAATTCTATAGCTTTTAGATGTCACTTGAAAATTGATAAATTTCTTTTTATTTAAACATTATTAAAAAAATTCACAAACCAGGCACTTTCTTTCTGTAGGAAGTAGTCTCTAAAATGTATTTTATGATCATTATACAGGTTCCAGTTTGTTGACTTTTCTCAAGGATAATTTTTTTTTTGACTAGGTATCTAAATCAGAAATTTAAAAATGACATTGAAATTTTATTTTTTTTTTTTAATTTTGTCTTCAATTATTGAAATGCTGCTGAATTTGTAAGTACATGGATTATGGTTAGACTTTGTTCTTTCTTTAAACAATGCATCAATTTAAGGAAGGCTTTCCAGACACCATTCAAGTGTTTATATACTTCATATGAACCGACATCCATTCTGTTCATTTTAGGCATTTTTGAATTTGTAAAATTTTAAGACAATTTAATTTTTCAGAATTAAAGATTTTAAAGCATTTTTTTTAATATTTGATTAAATGAAATTTAGATTTACTTGAATTTTGATAAAAACAAATTTTCTTTTTAGAAAGTTTCATTTTTAGCACTGATCCTCTGTCAATGCATGAATTAAATTAAAAACAGATTTTTTTTGTTACTGTTATTAACATGAAATATGCAACTGTATTTTAAGAAAAACTGAATTTTACACTTTCGTCCAAAAATCTGAAAATTTTGCCTATTCAGAAAGATTGTTTACAAATCCTTAATATAACAAAAGAAGGTATCCTTGTCTATTTCTCTCTTTTATCTCTTAAATCTTTTGCATGTTAAAACATTTTTTCATGAGTTCATATTAGACTCTCCTTGTTTCTTTTGCTATTTCTGTAAAATAAATACTTCATAACTAAGGCAAGCTTTGAAATCTTTAGTGAATATACAATTTATTAAAACCTTTTGCTTTACCAAGGTTAGTTCTCAACTAATTTTGATTTTTATACTTAAAAAGCAAATGATGCTTGGTATTTAAGTGAATATTGGTTGTCTTAATTTGACAATAAATGGTAACTTATTATTTTCTGACCTGGTTGGCTGTATCAGTTGTTGTAAAAGACAACTTTTATAGTTTGAACATTTTAACAACAATCTTTTGAAGCAAAATATCACCTTTTGTTCATATTTCTGTTGAACAGTTGGATTGAAATTAAATTTATATATTTTGAAATAAAATTGTCATATGACAATTTTTTATTTTTATTTTTTTTTTTTTAGGAGTAAAATATCAATATGACTTTGTACCATAAAACAATACATTTGTACTAGAATGATTTGAAAGAAAAAATGTTTAAAATACTTGAAGAGTGGATAAATGTACTGGCCAAATATAAGCAGGTGTGTATGCATATGCAGGCAAGCAAATAAATAATTGTTAAATTTATGAATGAGGTGTAAAATCTTAAAATATTTGTTTCAATTTTTGGTAGCAGCTGAATTGATAGATTTTCAAAGTTGTTTTTTATGCTGTGATAATGACTTTAAGCAGATAAAATGCTTCAGTAAAAGTTCAAAAAACATTTACAATTTTAAATCACTTTTGAAACTCATAAGCAACTTTTCACCTGGCTATGCATCATGGTTCACTTTACTGTAACAAAAGATTGCATGTTTCCCTTTCATTCCTACCCTGACATTTGGATTGTTTGCATTCTTAATGACCAGAAGTTTTTTTAGGGAGACATGGATGAAACTAATTTTCTAGATTGTCTGCACATTTATTTGCACAGAAAATCTTTTCTAAATAAAAAAAAAAAATTAATCACTTTTTGATTCCAGCACATTTAATAATTGGGTTAGGGTTGTGTGGCAACATGCATGGAAAGAAACTCAGGCTATTCTGGTAATTTTCAGTTCTACAAAGAAATTTATATATATATGATAATTACAAAGTTGAGATAATCTTTGTCTTTCTTTTTCTTGCTTCAGTCAACCCTCCAAGCCGTTTGGTTCACTTGACAAAACGAAGGGCAGCTGTGCCTACCAAACACCTCCCAAAAAAATATCGCAGTAGTTCAACAAGGGGACCTGCTTCATCTGCAAATTATCCTATCCATATTGTTTCAAAACCTGGCTACAGAAGAGTTCGAGATTCAAATGTTGTCCTCTCCTTGGAGCGACTTGAGGATGTTGAAGAAGACGAAATTATGGTGTGATTGACCACCAAAAACAGTTTTATGTGGTAATTTCAGCTGAACAATCAATACGGATGACCCAAGAGTGTATGACTATATGTCTGTCTTTTTGCAATACTCATGCAAGTTTGTGTGTGTGCGTGTACATGTACATATAGAAATGGATATGTATGTATGTATGTGTAAACCTGGCAGACATAAGAGTGCATGCCCACATTAAATGTATGTAAACATGTACATAAACCTATTTGACTCACTAAGTATGGCTGAGTGCATGAATGGCTGAATACACACACATACAATTTCTCACTGTATGTGTTGTACAAAGAGCCTGTGATGATACAAAAACTGCCTTTTTTTTTCCCCTGCTTATACCAAAATTCTTAGCTGGGTATGTTAAGATGCAGTTAGCTGACCTCCAGCAGAAGTCTCACAAATCTAGCATTGGTGAAACAACCTTCATTGGTGAAAAAAAAAAAAAAAAGGAAAAATAGTGCTGGTATAACAGGAAGCAGGCAAAGAGCTTTTGGGATATAAAGACTGATAAATAAGCAATTTGTCTAATGCAAAACAAAAATCACAAAATAATAATTGGATTTGACTTTTGGAGGCTGACTTTTTTTTTTCTTTTTAAAGAAAAAAAGGAAAAAAATATTTGAAAAATGTTTTTAATTTTTATTTTTATATTATGTTTATTTCAGAGCTTAAAAATAAACCCTGTGAGTTTGAAAGAGATTCACTTTGGGAGAGTGTCTAATCAAAATTGTTATATTGGATGAGGGGAATTGGCTGGTTTCTAAATCAACTCTCTCCACAAACTGTGCATAGTATTCTTCCCCAGGGGCTTCATTTCTTGTGATGTTTCTCTCTCTCTCTCGCCTCATATGTTCCTCAACAGGCCAATTCTTTCTAACCATTTGCTCAATTGTCTACATATCTTCTGGACTGGCAACCAGTGCTTCATCTCTGGGCCATATGCTTTGGCTTTTTTTAGTTTACAGCTTTTTTGCATTTTGTTTATCATATTTAAAAAGCCATAAAGCTTATTGGCTGTTTCTCTCTGAATATTTTAAACAATTTTTATATCACTGAAGAAAAAGAAAATTGAAACCAAGGAAATAAATTTTTTCAGTGTAAGTTGTTTTCCTTGGTCTAAACTCAAAAGCAGTCATTCTTATTTTGTTGAATATTATGATGAAGCCACTTCATACGAATTCCTTTTCACATAGACAGAAATAGTATTTTCAAAGACATTTCATCATCCTTCCCTCACAATTATAGCTTTCCTTTTTCTTTTTTGTACATTTTTCTGCATAAAAAAGGTTCTGCAGAAATCAGTTGATCATTAATTGGAAATCTCTTCAATGTGATTTCTTTCCTTTCATCCTCACCCACATTTGTAAATTCTTTAAAGAATGCAACAAAATTTGGTTTTAACTGATTTCTTTTTTGTTATTCCATTATCTTCATATTTTATACCAAAGACCTTTCTACAAAAAGAAAGTAGATGTATGAACAGCTTTTAACTTTCCTTCTAAAACATTTCTCATAGAAAAATCAAAATTCAGCATTTTCTATTTTCTGCTCATGAATTAACAAAATTTGTATTTATTAATCTAAACACTTGACAAGTGACATCTCTCTTGTTGAGAATGATAACAGTGAGTGAGATATCCTCTACATTTTGTGTCTGTTACATCTTGCTCTCTTCTTCTATTGGTGGGAATTTCTGTTCACTGCAACAAAGTAGAACATAATTCATTCCCAAGCTCAACACACACACACACACACACACACACACACATAAAATTGTCATGCCCTCATCAAGCTACCAATCTTACATACCATTTCCCCCCGCATTCAAGGTAAAATATATTTCATTTTCACCCACCACTACTTGCCAGTTTATTTCACAAACAAAGCCTCTGAAAGTCATCATCCCATTCATTGATTGCAATGTTAAATAAAGTTCCATTTCATGTATCTTTGTTGACTTTTTTTTATGTGTGGATCAGAAAAGATTCTATTTAATCATGGCACAAGTGATATTCAAAATTTTCCTTAACAAAAGATAATCAAAGCTAGAAGAGAAAATCTTCCTTGGCCTTCAAAATATCATAAATCAACTTTTGATAGATTTCCTTATATATAATAAAACTGAAGAAAAAAATGTGAAAATTGCAAGATTTTTTTTTTTTTTTTCAGGCTAACAGAGCCTTTTGCCAAAAAGGCACAATAGATAACAAGAGCTATAATATTCAATAAATCAAGAAAAGTTTGTCACAAAAGTTTTGAGTCAAAATGCTCATCAGGACCATATGTTTGATAAATCTGTTGAACCTATTATCAGATATATTTGTATTCTTTCTGAACAAGTGAATGCTAGTTATTATTTTTAGTTTTCAAATTTGAAATTCTTAACAGACTAGCGTTTCATTAGAAATGTCACAAGATTTAAATTCAGAAGCAGTTAATTTTTAAAAATATTTTATACATACATACATACATATATAGTGAGTGCTAAAGGCAATAAACAGTGATTGATGTAAAATAACAGAGCTAAAATTTATACTAATAATAAATATACATTTGTTCACCATTTGGTACAATTCCCAGGTTTATGTGATAATTGTCATGCACAAATTGAGTGGGGCGGTCCATTTACTTATATATAACAGAAATACACATATAGATACTAGCAACTATACACACATACATATAAATCTATGTAAATATATATATATATATATATATAGAGTTGTAGAGTGGATAAATGAAATGGACAAATATAAGCAGACGTACACGCGTGTTGGTGTGCATATGCAGGCAAGCAAATAAATGTGTAATATATATATATATATATATATATATTTAAATGTTTGTTTTTATTTAAATTATTTGCTCTGGATTTTAGCCTCCTTAGGTTTACCCATATGGATTACCTAGTTTTTTTAAACTAATATATATATATATATATATATATATATATATATATATATATATATATGTGTGTGTATTATAATTATTTAAAATATATATTTTTGCAACACAGAAATTACCATGTTTCAAAACCAAAGCCTAAATCTTAGATTAAACTTTAAATTTAAAGTTTTTGTTTCATTTTCAAGTGATGTTGAATAACTTTAAAAAATGTTTTACTCTTTATAAGTTAAATAGTATTGTATAGTTTAAATTGGTGGGGGAATGAGATTACAAAGTTTTTAAGGGGGTGTTGGTTCTTTTGGCAAATCAGGATACAAGTATAATTTAAGGCAGTAAAGTAAATATCAGTTAAGGGTTAGGTGTGGGTTTGTAATTTCTGTCTGTTGATACTGGCTTCCTTATATAAGAACTAAGTGTGTGTGTGTGTATATATATATATATATATATATACATACATACATACATACACACACGTCATCCACAGAAAGCCTGTTTTGTGGTATCACAGCTCATCAATATGGCTAGACATCCAATTGCTTCAAGATGGGATTGAAATTCAACCGATTTGAAACCAGTCAGACTCTTACCCCTACGCTATCGCCACATGGCAGAGAAAGGGAATTTTTAATGCATTATATGCTTGCTATATAAATGCCATAGTGCTCAATTCTTAGGAAAAGCAATGCACACACACACACACACACACATATATATATATATATATATATGAATTTTCTAATGTCCACACTCTATATCTGTAAATGCTTAATCTCTGATATTGAGCATCCTTTCCCTATAAATATACCAGAATCTACCATATATATTAAGTTTGTACAGTTATTTCTACAATGTCAATTTTCTTTTCAAGACAAACTCTTTTATGATACTTAACTTTTTAAGAGGAAATAATAAAAGCTAAATTTTAAATATCAAACAAGTTTGGTAAATGCAGATTTTCAAATTTTTATTTTAAGAAATGCCTTTTTCCTTATGGTGACTTAAAAGCTTAAGTGGTTCAATGTCTCTTGAAATGATAACCTATAACTAATTACTTTTATTTCTTATTAATCATTACTGTGTTCATTAGTATGCAGGAATTGTTATCAGGCTTATTTTATATTAGAAGGATGGAATTCCATTTCTGATAAGTTTTTTTTTTTTTTTTTTTTATTGCGATAATTTGCTGCAAACCAAATTTGAAAGAAAAGTGTTAACTGTAATTTCAGCCTGGAAACCATCATACCTTCCAGACAACTTAAACTGTTCATGACGAAGTGGATATATATTAACATGGTGTTTTCATGTGCATACATATGTTCCAAGGACAAAAATAGCCTAGTCCTCATGACCACTGCTACACTGGCATCCATCAATCCTACCTGGTACTGCTACAGAATTTGAATCCCAGGGACTAGGCTTCCTTCATTGTTTAGAGAAAGCAGACCCTGACTGGCCACGCTTATTATCTCTTATTACATCTGTCATGTAAATTAGCTACCATTGCTGCCTATTTTGACAAACTTGAAGCAACAAATATATACACAGGCTGATTGAAAAGTAACTCTTTATTTTAAAATACATTATTTATTAGCTAAAATTTTTACAAGAAAATGAGGAAAGCGTTTAACATGAGGTTTTATTTAAAATTTGATATGGGCACCAGATTTCGCAACCAGCATCTCAAGCTTCCCAGGTATCATGTCAACTGAACTCTTGTGGTATGGAAGGCATAACTTCATGTATTCGCTCTTCAAGTTCTTCCAAAGTCGTGGCTTGGTGTAGTAGACTTGCTCCTTTAACTAACTCCAAAGAAAAAAGTCACAGGCTGTTAAGTCAGAACTCTTGGCTGGCCACTCATACATAAAATAGGGAGTTACTTTTCATGCATGTTTAGTTGAATAACCTGGAAATATTATGTCTATATATTTCTCTGATCAACTTAATGTTGATATTAAATTCATTAAGTGCTGTAGTTTTTTTTTTCATTTCTTTTATTTCCCAAGTACTTTCAATCTCATCCAAGATCATCTTCAGGAGTGAATTGCTAAGACAAAAAAATTAATGTACTTGATAGTTGT